AATACATGACTTTCAGATGACTTCTTGGAGCTTTAGTTTTAAAGAGGGGCTAGCTGGTCAACAAAGAGGTGCTCGCCAGATCTCACAACATTTTACTATTATTTGGTTTAAGGGGGAGATGGGGCACACATGCTTGTGACAAAAGTAAGATGAGAAAGGAGACAGAAGACAAATAGATAGAGGTGGGGGGGTGCGGGGGTGGGGGGAGCAACGTAATCAAAGAAATTTTTAAAATAGGAGAGAGAAATGACCACACACATATACTAGTAAAATTAGGGTACTACTTTACTAATAATTGCGATACTCCCTCTCTATTTTGGTAACAAGTCCTATAACAGATAACGGCTATTTCTCCCCAGTGCAGTGAGAAACACGCGCCACCGCATGGAGGCCCCTGACAGCGGCCAAGCAGTGCGTCTGGAACACCAAAACGACCCCCTGATGCGGCGAAGCTTTCCCATGGAACAATTCCAGGGAAAAGGCCTTATGCGGCAGCTGTGGCTACAATCCAAAACTCTGCCCCGACCCCAAATCGTAAAGAACAGGAAAAAGTAGTTGCGAGAAGAACGACCCACAATGGCATGCCAGCAGTGATTTTCAAGGCTAAAGACTACTATGGTGTGATGATGGAGGAATGTAAACGAACATTGGTTGGGAAATTTCTGAAAATCAGACCTCCAATTGAAAAAATTAGGGCTCAATTCTCTAAAAAAATCGCACTGAAAGGAACTGTTAAAATTGGTGTTTATGATAATTACAATATTTTCTTAGACTACACAAATGATGAAGATTTTGATGTGACAAGATTCAAATGGGTGGTGGAAATTGCTGGTAATCAAATGTGGATACAGAAATGGACTCCAGACTTTAAGCGGGATGACGATTTGCCAATTGCAACTGTTTGGGCTTTGTTACCTGAACTCCCCTTCCACATGCATACTTGGCAATATGCCAAGCAAGTCATAGGACCAGCAGGAACTCCGCTAGAGCTGGACATTGCTACACGATCTAAAACTAGGCCGAGTATGGCGAAGGTGCGAGTGAAAATTGATCTTCTTAAACCCCTGCCTACCTCTGTTTTTGTGGGTGCTGAAGATGAGAACATGCCTCTTAATGGCTTTGTTCAAAGAAATCGAGTCGGAGAATGTCCCTAAATACTATAAGAACTGCAGAAAGATAGGACACTCTCTGGTTAACTGCTGGATTGTCGAGAAAATGAGACAAGATGAGAATGAACAAAAGAAGGAAGAAGCATGGGAGGTAGGTAAGGAGAAACAAACGGATATAGGCAATGTTAGACAAGAACATAATACTGATGCTGGCATTATGGAGGGGAATTGGCAGGTTCCTAATACAAAAAGAAACAGGAAAAAGAAACAGTACAAAGCTACTGAGGAGAGACAAATCGGGAATGAAAACGACAACGACCAAATGAAGGTAATATGAGTCAATGGTGAACAAGTCAGCAATGTACCCAAATGCAATAATATTGAAGCTCCAATGGAACAACCTAACAATGCCTATGATCATAAAAGAAAAGAAGACAGAAAAAAAAAGGTGATGCCCAAAAAGAAAAGCTCGATTACGTTCAAACCTGTTGTGAAAATGAAGAAGAAAGACACAATTAAAAATGCTTTGGGAGGCAATCTGATTGACAAAAATGTTGCCATATAAGAAATCTTAAATGAGTTGGGAGTTGCGGAAAAGAACAGCTCCAAAAACATAACAAATAATCAAAGAGAGACTCACAATGCCAGCCCAGACAATATTGAAAAAGTTGATGAAAGTTTCACGATACAGGATAAGGATGTCAATAACAACATGGAGGATGACAACCAAAAACTCGATTCTGATAAGAGTACAAACAGCCCAATGACACAATGCCAGGACTCGAGGAGTGTAAACATGAGGGAAACAAGCATAAATCAAGGAAAATCTACTACAAAATCAGAGTCCTTACCCTTAGAAATCAAGAAACATCCTGGAATTCTAGTAGTGATAGACTTTGGTGGATACAACATCGAAGAAAAGAGACTACACGACCAGTGAAACATGATCGAGAAAGAAACTGAGAATGCTAATATGTCTAGCTCCGACAACAGTTATGAAACTCTATATAAACAACCTGAAGACCCGGCTGAAACTCACCTCAAAGAACTGACCAACAGGCAGGGTATCTCTCCTATTAAAAGAGGCAGAAGCAGGAACAGAAAATCTGGAAAGAACAAAGACAAGATACATCCTTCCTCCAGGGGAAGGAGTCAAAGTTGATTCACCCCCTCTTATCTCCATGATCAGTGCAATAATATGGAATATAAGGGGAGAGGTGAGGACTAAAAAAGCCTTACGCAAATTGAAAAAGCTCTGTCACATCAATAATATTGACTTCGTCGCTATCATGGAACCTTTCATTGACAAGAAGAAGATTGAAGGTTACATGAGATATTTGGGATTCCAACATTGCCAAGCAAACATAAATGGACAGATTTGATTTTTTTGGAAACAGGACTACAATATTGCTATCATTGCTAATGAAGAACAACAACTCACTATGAAGCTCTCTCATAGTGTTCAAGATAAGGAACTCAACATCACAATTGTGTATGCCAAATGTACTGCCAGGGAAAGAAAGGATCACTAATGGAATATCAACCTATGGCAACAGATGTTATTGCAATGGTTCAAAACCCGTTGCTATAGATGGCTTATTGCAACGGTAACCATGACAATAAGGCATAGGTACTATTGACACACTTTAGCTATAAAACCATTGCACTTGTGTGGGAACCATTTCCATAGATATTTTTTGTTGCAACGTTTAATTGAACCGTTCCTATAGATGTATCTATTGGAACGGATCTTGGAAACAATTCATTGGGAATGGTTTTAATTCCCTCTTAATTATTCCCCCCCCTCAATTTTCGTGAAACCCGCCAAAATCCCTATTTTTTTTACATTCTATTTTTTTTACTTGTATTTTTGTAAATTGTAATACAACAACAACAACAACCCAGTGTAATCCCACAAGTGGGGTCTGGGGAGGGTAATATGTACGCAGACCTTACATCTACCCCGAGGGGTAGAGAGGCTATTTCCAGGAGACCCTCGGCTCAAAGAGGCAACAAGAGACACTATATTAGTACTATCAATAGACTCATAATAAAATAACATAAAATACCATAAAATCCATAACATAACATAAATACCATAAAATAACAAAGTAACAGCAATATAAGAGATATAGGAAATACGAGAAAGATGTAAGGTATTAATACACAACAGATAAAGCCCATCATCAGTAGTTGATCAATAGCATCCTAAGACTACTTCCTAACTGGCTAGTCTCACTCTAGTGCGCTGTA